TCCCGTCCGCTCTCCCAGAGTCAAGCCAATGAGAGGCAGATTAGTAGTCAGGTGGGTGACCACTGGCGAACACCGGCTGTTGTATGTTGATTTATCTCTTTTTTTGCTCTTTTTGTACTATAAATGGATATGATACGCTTCAGGGTCCGCAGTGAAGGAAGATCAGGCGCGATTTACATCTACTCGTTGTGCATCACTGGCATTTGCAAAGCAACACCCGAGGTGCAACTGGAGCTACGCCTACAAGATGTTCACTTATGCAATCCGTACTTGGGAGCCAGACGGGTCGCACAATGCCAGATGGCCCTTCAGGAAGACCACTTCATGGGGGCGTTGGGGCGGGAGAAAAGAGAATGTGATGATTGGAAGCAGCGCTACCATCGTTTATCTGTTCTGGAGTGACGGTACTGTTACGATTGAAGGTAGGACGTTGGAATAAAGCATTGAATATCTGTCTGTCTCGTCGCAGCCTTTGTATTAGTCGTAATGATTTTAGGTTGAGATTCGAGTAACTTCATGGATAAGTAGACGGAGCGAGTTGGAGTTTGATCATCAGCACAACCATGGCTATAGCGATATATAGAAAGCTGCAATACGGAACAAGATGTCCAACAGCAAGTCATACCAGATTGTAACCCAAGGTTGAAACATTTCAAACTTCATTTTAACAGGGCATCGAACTTTTAAGCCCCAGCAATCCACCTAATCTTTCACAATTTGGCTCTTGTCAGACTAGCCGCAGCAATGCCACGAATGTACACATATTTTAATCTACTGCATCTACCGCCTCTATCCTTGCAAATATGCTGTCTTATAATATAATATTAATACGTGGGCCAATCGCCTCATTATATTATGGCCGGGGTTTGCTGGATATATGTAGCTAGATAAGGAGAAAGAAGAAAAAAAATTAATGGAGGAACGATCAATTGGAGTTTCGCAGTAATTTAAACTTACCTATACAGCGATCGATTTCCGCTGTTATAACGGTTAGGTCGCTTGCGTAAACAGCTTAACGGGGAGAATCTGGAGGGCTCCAAAGGCCCAGCGTGCCCAGTGAATCCAGTACGCCCAGGGCATTCAGATTGTTCATCCTAGGGGAAAACATACGAACTGCCAGAGCTTTCACTTCTACCGCTATCACTACCTTCATTGACTCCTCTTTTTTCAACATCGTCGACGCCTCCCTTGCGTTTGAATATCATGCTTATCGGCTTGAGATGTGCCCTTTATTCGGCCCATATGTCGAAGGGGTCGGAATAGAAATTTCTTTTAAGGACAATAGCCTCGTTCGATGTGAGCGTGGCCCCTTCATATCCAACAGAAGGCCATGAATCATGCTGGCCATTGTGGTGTTTAGGGGCGTAGTAAGTAAGAGAGTGAGTTAAATCACATGGTGTAAAGCGATGGCGAGGCTGATAGAGAGGATAAGAATCTTGGTGCCCGCTAAAGCGTTCATAGGGGCGAGTGCTGCGCTGATCAGGGTCACCTAGTTTGATGGCCAAAATCTCACCGTAGATTTGGAGTGCTCATAATATCTGAACCAAACAGAACGATTTATTTCCTGGCTATCGAATTATATAAGTTTCGCAATAATCATTGCTGCAAGCATAAACAAGAAAAGAGTTGGAACAAGAAATGCTATTCAACCTCAGTGTCCAAGGCAGCAATCGCCAGGTATCTGTATCTATCTTCAATCTGTTTAGGTCATCTCAATCGCCGTAGAAGCTTTCCTCATTACGCTGTACCATAAGCAGGCATCAGCATTATTTCCTATACAATGAATATAACCCACTTATAGAATCTTCTAGAGTTACTAAGTGTAATACTCTAGCTCCAAAATAATCTGTTCCAGAGATTAGGTATAACCAGCTCGAAATAACGTGTTGATTCCCCGCTAGCCTCCACAAAAAGCTAGGATATTGCCAACTTTGGGAGTTCGGGATGACTTTTGCAAAGTAACTAGGACAGTGCTGACTTTCAGGCACTATACTCTGATACTTATGATATAAAGTCCAGAGGGTGCATGCTATATATATGAATGAACAGAAGGCAATGAAGAAACGGGCGATAAAGGCTAGAGAAGGGACTACATGTCAGTCAAAGGGCAAATATATTAAAAAGAGGACACCATGCCTATGAGCCACAAATATATGTCTTGAAGCCCATATCTGTGCCCAGCACACGAGGAATTCCCTTGATATAATAGGCCATTTCAAGTAGAGCTTATTAGGGACAAAAGCGGAATCAAGCTAATTGTGATTGCTTGCGCAAGGTCGTTACTTGATGGGTACATCGCTTTGGACGAAAGAGAAATACATGCTCAGGTACATCAGCAGGTACAAGATGCAACAAAAGCCCCCTTCGTTGATTTCACTTTGTTGGTGCTTTACCCTTGTTGAATCGCGGTTTGAAGGTTGGTATCCGTGAGACTGGGAACTCCAGCGCTTCCCAGTCAACGCTGATGTTAAATGCAAAAGGATTTTTCGTTGAACTCCTGCCCACATTATGGTGCAGAAAACCAGGAGAGAGTACGTCGTGCATAGAAAGCGAGACTAAACACAGTTATAATGTTGTTCAAGAACTATTCGAGCTGAGAAAAAATTGGCAATTCCATCTTGAAAGTGGTGTCGTTATTATTATTGATCAATAAGGCTATTTAGAAGCTGGTAGCTGTGTTTGCTATATTGCACTTGATGTGTATGTGGAGAGCCAGAGTGAAGGTGACGCATGTAAAATAGAATGTCTGGGCTATTGGGGAGAGATGTTTATGTATTCAAAGAAAGCGCAGTGACGCGTAAGTGATAATGCTTTGAACACTTTCACGAAAAACAAACTTATAATCAAAATTTCACCATACACACCATACACTAGCTGATGAATTCTATATGCTTCTTTGAGTTTTGCCTGAGAACGCCATCACAAAGACTTTTCCCACTGCATGAGCTATTTCTAGTGAGACTCTGTTGCATTTTTTCTTACCCGATGTTGAATAAAGAAAGGAGGGAGACAAGGGAGTAGCCACACAAGATGACAGCTTCTGCCCCCGATCAGGACACGTCTTCTATAGATTGTGCTACATCGTTGCAGCGAGCTTTCAATATTACGTCGGACCTCCTGAAGTTTTGCTAACGAGGGTGCTGTGAGATGTCAGCGCGGTGCATAAAATATGGAGGATGCATAGCGTATCGCTGCTACTGCTTCTCGTTGGCATCAACATAAAACGCACCTCATCGGACCAAGATAAGATGTTTGAATATATTCAGTACTATGCAAATCGATATATTCAATACAAGTGTTTTTAGACGCAAATCGACTTTAGTAGGGAGGAAAGATCTAACCTCTTTAGCCAACATTCAAACCGTCTTTACCATCCATAGCCATCTTCGCAAACGTTGACCTAAAATTTTAGTAAATAGACCGCTACATGATTCAAGCCTTTGACATTCAATTGATCGTTAGTGCAGCTTAAGAAAAGTCCAATAACTTGGATCATTATCCCTATAGGGCTGTATCATATCATATTCGATTATGCGAATAAAATAGATCAATTGAGCTGGTATTTCACATATGACAGGCTGATATGTAACATCAGTTCCAACATTTAAATGGCAAGACATAGACATTGACTGTCGAAATATTATCGCTTTGAGCTTCTATAGCCACATTTATCACGACAATATTAATGATCTTGCTGCCAAGAAATAGTGCCTAACCGCTAGCGCGATCTAGATGAAATACCCATTGACTGAATAACCATCATAAAGCTGACGGTTGGTACCGTATATAAGGCGGCCAAAGCTTGCTGTCCAAATATTATCTATTGCTGCCATTATTAATAGAGGTAAATTAAAAAAATAGGATATCTTTTTATGTTTCTATTTTTTTAATTTTGAATAATTAATGCCAAGAGTATAAAGAAAAACAAAGTCAATCGCATGACATCGAATACCTTTGCTACTAGCTGAGACCCCCTTTGTGGTACAAGTCCTTGGTGACGACAGTGGTGTAGGTCAAATTTCAACTGTGTATCATAATTATACATAACCCATATTGCTTAGCTCCAGTTGCACAGTGCCAAGGCTGGAAGCTTGCGAGCTGGAAGACGGTAAAAACAGTAATAAGCTGAAGCTTCCCAGGTTGCAAAGACTGCAATATATTTGAAATTTCCCCCCTCTAAACTATTTTGTAACTCTAAAAATAGTTCAATCAGGTCAATCGGGCCAAAGTCTTGCAACTTCATAGCCCATGATCTAAGCTAATAAGTATTATCCTTCCTCCTATAGCTGGACTTTTATCCATTCGTTTCAAAAGTATGCCTAGCAGGCCGCCTGGAGGCTGCCGAAAACCTCCTTGCGTTAACTATCGAATGCGTTGATCAATAGTCTAGATGCAGTGCACGTGCCTCTCTCATACACGTCCTATTACTATTCCCAAATGGCAAACCCCCTTGCATCGCTTTCACCGAGTCACAAGCCACATCTCCACCTTTACAAGGCTGCGGTGTGACCAAGATGCCAGCATTCCATTGCAAAGTCTATAGTCAAACTAATAGGATGGGTAACCATTGACGCACTTTTCTTTAACACCAACAGAAAGTAATGACGTTTGAGCTAGCTGAAGAAAGTCAGAGAACGGCGATTACTGTCTCTGGTGTTCGCCATGACTGCTGAATGTGCACTGTTTTGGAATATGTAAGGCTGATTGCATGTGAAGGATCGCTTATGGAGGGTTGCACTACGCGGCGGAGCCATGCATGACCACATATGTGGCGTACAAACACATAGAAAGGGGTGTGAACGAACACATATAAGAGAGCGGCTTGAGAGCCTACCTCTAATACAAACATCATCTCTCTTTCCATCACCTCATCTGTATTGAACAAGAAAAAATACAATAAAATAAAACTTCCATCAATCATACAACATGAACTCGGATCCAAATTTTCAGGGCAGTCAGCTCAAGCCAGGAACAGCGGCCTATGACCAGGCAAATGACATTTACGCCACGTCTACGTATGGGCAGGAACGCAACATGAACCCTGGAGAGATCCTACAACCCACAAGCATAGAGGATATCCAGGGTGTTGTTAGATATGCCAACAAGTTTGGCAAGCCTATTGCCATCAGGACTGGTGGTCACCAGTACAGCGGTGCATCCTCAACGGGCCCCAATGGCATCCAGCTGGACTTGGAACTTACGTTCCGAGACAAGAATAAGGACCTTGTATTGATCCGCGATACAGCCAACGACAAGGTCTATATCAAAGCAAGTGTCAGCTGGGCCTTATCTGAAGTCTATGAGTTTCTTTTGGCCAATGGCGTCTTCATGCCCACAGGCCAATGCGCTACGGTTCATCTCGGAGGCCATGTCCAGACAGGCGGCTATGGGATGCTGGCTCGATCCTTTGGGCTTCTCGGAGACTACATCCGTGAGCTCCATATTGTGGATCACACTGGTGAACTGGTCACAGTAACCAAAGAGAAGCAGTCCGACCTGTTCTTTGGCCTGCTCGGTGGCAGCCCCGGCAACATAGGAGTCTTGACGCACTTCACTGTCGAAGTCCAAGATGACAAAAAGTACCAGGGTTCAAAGGGCCTTTGGATGGCGTTCCACTACCACCAAGACACTTTAAAGGAGCTCCTCGACATATTAGTAGAGAAAGGAGAAGACCCAAACTTCCCGCGCAGCTACGACTTCACTGTCAATGTCGTCAGCAGAGAGACAAATCTTCTAGACCTTTTCCCAGGCTCGGAAGACGAGCTCAAGGAGACATTGCCAGATAACATTCACGACGGCAAGAAAAACTTCGCCAACGTGTTCAAATTCAAGTACGCAGTCATTGTTGTGTATGCCCAATGGGTCAATTTGGGGACCGACAAATTCTCCCCAGATCTTTTCAACCGCATCAAGGGTGTCACTCATGATCTCTTCAAATTTGGCAAGGAGACTGATAAAGATACTCCAATGTCCTACATTACATCCATGTGGCTCTTCAGAAGCCGGCGCGAGTTCCCCTACCCTTACATCAAACGCACTAACACGACCAATTCCACCACGCTCTCCAAGACTGGATGGTCCAAGTGGTTCTCTGGGCGTATCAACGAAATCATCTCCAACAAAGGCAACGGCCTGTGGGTCTCATCTCAGTTGCAGGTTTATGGCGGGAAAGGGTCCATGTTCGCGAACAACGCAAACAATGGCACTGCCTATGGCTGGAGAGATGCCACTATTAGTGGAACCTGGGATGTCTTTCATCAAGATAACTATGAGGGGGCCAAGAAGTGGCAGGATGAGAACGATGCTGGAGCGGCTATTTACTTTAGCAAAAATGACCGCCGCGTTCTCTGGGGCTCGTATGGTGATTGGGACATGAAGAAGGTTTGGCCACACTATTATGACTCTGAAACGTATGAGAAGCTGCGGCAGATAAGGAAGAAGGCCGATCCCAATGGCGTCTTTACTGCCAACCCATTTTGTGTGGAGGCAGCGGAAAAAAGTGTGTGCTCGAGTTTGTAAACGCTCATTTTTAATTGATCATTCACTGAACTCGCTTGTTTTTTAAGGGTAATAATAGTTAGTTTCATTAATCGGATCGAAATTGAACTCCGAAAGTGTATTTAGCATAATATATTCGTTCATAAAAAAGTGAATGTCCGCCCTGTATGAGACAATACTGGTGCACATAAATTTGATCGACCTACACCAGAAATGAATCCTCTCTGGCCTTCAATTTTTCAGGGTTCATCTTGAAATAATTTTGAGGTGCTACCAGGGCATATCTCAGATTCGAAAGACGGTATATCTTACGCCATCCACAAAGATGTCACCCGTCGTAGGAACATCTCCAGTACATTATGATGATGTAATGTACTGACATTGTACTTCTGCCAGGGGCACATTAGGCAGTAGCTCGCATCATCGAGCAACAACGCGAGCGGTTGGATCTTTCTTTTAGTCACATCCAGAGCTCTATATAATATCCTGGAGTGGAAATTGCTGTCTTCTGGGATGCAGAAGATGTCATGCCCTGGAGCGTTTTATCAGTATTTGAAGATGTTAGTACTTTCTTTGCTCTTATAGCCATGGCTATTAAGTTCCCAAACTAATGCTGTATCGCGTTACATGTAAAAGAGAGGAACATCAATTAGATGGCGTCCCGCCATACAAAATTGACCACCCTGCACCGGCATCGGCTGTTGATTCTCCCTTATCTGAATAGTGAATAGTAAAGTAAACAATACCTTAATACGCGTCTAGATAATCTTGGAAGATATATACTCAGGTATTACCAATAGGCCTTGTTAGTGTAATAATGGCCTGGTAAATAGAATTAGCCGCTATTTATTAGTTTATTTGGTATAATGAGTCTTATATGTTGAATTGGCTTGATTTTTAGCACATACAACCATTGGTAGTGGAAAATTCGGGGTCCCAACATTGCTACTTACACTTCTTTGCCATTCTGCCAATTTCCTTCTAACAACCTCCTCTGTAATAGTAATCTGGTCTCCTCGCTGATCAAGAAGCAATGCCACCATCTCCTGGCACCCCCGCCATTCCCAGCTGCAGCCTTGATGACCTTAGATAATCTCTCCCCGACAAAGCAACTAGTACACCAAAATCTCCTCATCTTTTTCTCCCCCGTCCCTCCATTTTTTAAGCACCTTCTTCATATCCGCCGCGATATTCTGAGCATAGTCAGGCCCAGCAGCCCCGGCAGGCAAATCCGCTGGATTCCCCCTCACCCAAGCAACAGGTTCTTTAGCAACACCCGCGAATTTCTTCTTAAGTTCTTCAACCTGCTGAGGCTCATAGCCGCGACCGAAGATTACCGCGCGAGGAGGCCGGCTGTAATCGTGGGTTCCGATCTCATCGGGGCTCCGAGACTGAGGATCGCGACCTACAAGCAGATGCGGGAGCTCAGCCTCTGCAGCCTCATATGACAGGATGAAGTGGATGACTGAGGAGCATTAGCACCATACTCTGTTTATTTCAGGATTGTATATCAAGAACCTTCATATTCAGGCAGCAGGTGCTGGGAGATTGATTTCCCCATCGCAGGTATTTTGCCGCAGGCAACTACTGGCATTGGCTGAGTGAATGAAGACATGTTGCGAGAGCTGTACGCTGTATGCTGCGGATGAAGGTATTTCGGAGCATTGGAGATGGAGAATTATGGCGTTAGATGAGGTCGATGATTCGATTTATATTCCTCGTTGCGGCGCGCTCGGTCTTGATAAGTTGATGACGTTCATGAGAGCCTGTTTCCTCTAAATCCAGCCAATTTCAAAGCCATAAACTTTGGGCGCAGTTCGGGCCAATCGTGGCGACCCACCAATTTTTCGATTATTCAACAGTCCCGACAACACACCCCGATGAGTAAAGCAACGCCGTCACGTCTTTTTCGCGTTCTCATATTCTCCATTACATCACACTGCATGTCTTCAAGAAAAAGAAAAGGCCTCAAAAGCAATACACGATGGTCGAAGCAATGACTGACGCGCCCGCGCCTCGCAAGAGAGGCCGACCACGAACTGTGACGGACGATCGGCGAGTTCCCGAGGTGGGTACATACCGAACAACTACAGAGCAAGTTGGAACTGACTCAAGGAATCCAGAGACGTCGAAAGCAGCTTCGCGTCGCGCAGCAAGCATATCGCAGGAGAAAAGAGACCACGATCGTCACGCTGCAATCTCGCGTACAGGAACTCGAGTCGGGCTTCGAAGAGCTCAGTGAGTCGTTCCTTTCCTTCAGTAGTCTTCTGTTCGAGGCTGGGATTCTCCAAAATCAGCCTCGTGTCACATCTGCTCTGCAAAAAGTTACACAGCAATGCGTGTCGCTTGCCAAAAGTGGCTGCGACGAGGCCGAAGAAACACCTGCAGCCCCGGCGGACGTATCGCCATCGACGTCTCCCACGCTCAACAATACGCAAGATATAATCTCAAATTACAATCCACTCATAACGCAACTTGATTCATTGCCAATAATCCTTGACGCTTTCCAGTCCTCGTCGGTCCTCGCGGCTCAATGGCCTGGACAATGGCCTGGACTATCGCAACTACCCCCCATGCCACCCTACCAAGAACCAGCAATTCTACCGTTCGGGGTTGTCTTGCCGTCTCCGAATATCCCCTTTTTATCCACCCCTAGTCCCGTTTTGAATTTCCCGACCACAGTATCGCCCGACAATATCTTAAAGCAAGGGCGCTGGACACTCTCACACCGCCTGGTCCGACAATGCTGCGAGATTGGATACCATTTATTAATAAGCTCGTCTGGAGACGAATCAAGGGTTAAAGCAACCTTCGGCAAACGATTGACCATCGACGAGCGCAACCGCTTGATCTCCGGATTCGTCGACGTCATGCACGACGAAATAGGAAACGTGATCGAGTTGAGGACAAATGTTCTCAATTCAAGGAGGAACAGCTACTCGCCTGAACAACTCGCCGTTTCCTCTCGAACGTGGCAAATTGTCATTGAATCGGGTGCTGATGAGTGGATGGATACGAGTGGTGTGCAAAGGCTGCTACAGGAGCGAGGGATTCGTATTCAGGACCCGAGCCTCTCCAGTCCCCGGTTCAATTCCGCTCCTCAGCTCAACGCAGCGACCTTCATTAAATGCGAGTAATGCGAGATCAATGGTTCTTTGTGTCTTCCTGTCCGTGCATTTACTGACCTTGTCGTAGACCTTTCCCTCCGCCCTATCTGTCTCGGTCGCGGACCAGCGTTCCGAAAGCGTGATGTTGAGAATGCCATTCGCCTTGCAACTTTTGATGATCCTGGGGCGTTTAACGCTGTGTGCGAAATACCATGAATTATATATAATAACAATAATTGTCTACAATAGATATAATCTCGGCTTACTTTGCATCATGCGACGATTGGAAACAGGATCCCACTGTGGAGTTGAGGAAATCCTTCCAGTGCATATGTTCCCTATTTGCATTTTCTTTAAAAAAAAAAGCGCCCTTTGCATCCCGGCCCCCTTCATGTCGACTGTCACTTTAGCGTCTAGGAACTTGTCTTTGAAATCCAGGGCTGGACTCCAAAATCACCCATATTCTCCATTTACATTTTCTCCCTTTTTGGGTCACACAAATGCTCAGGCACATTTCTAGTCACGTCGACGCCAAATAGAGACTCTGTCATGGATCACCCCATTCTCACCCATGCCCACAGTGTGCGTGCGCTCTGGCTGCCAGTGCGCCACTCTCTCCAGGCCCGCCTTGCTGGGCTCTCGCAACGGATCCGCATCGACAAGACCCTTATCGTTGTAGGAGATCTTCTCACCGGGGTGGCTCAGGTGCTCCATGTAGGCCTCGGAGGGAGAGGCAAATGGAGGGCCAGGGGCCAAGGGGTCCTTATGACGAGGAGACTCCAGACAGATCAGATTGCCTGCAGGTGAGGGAGCAAGGAGCTCGGTGTGTCGGAGAGCCCATTTAGGACGGAGCTCTGGGTTCAGAGCACAGAAAAACTAGATGGTTGTTAGAAGGAAAGACCAGAAAGACCAGAAGGATCCAGGGCGGGTCGGAAATGGCACATCAAAAGCCCAAAGACAGAGAGTGAAGCATCTTGCAGGTCCCCCTGTAGAATACAGAGTACAAGTGGAGAGAAAAAAGAGCAATGATGGGATGAGCCCAACAGCGGCAGTTAGTATACATACCGTGTAATCATATATAACATCAAATCCATTTCGAGGTACTCCAATGTCCTTCAACCAGGTATCATCAAAGAAATCCCCTTGGACGAAAGTGACCTTCCCTTTCCCAACTTTCTCGTCTCGCACACGGTACCGGCTATGGTTCTCCTTCTCCTCCTTCTTGCACGCATCAACAGCCATGGCGCTGCACTCCAGGCCATAGGCATCATACCCAAAGCTCGCCAGTAAGAGTACATCGACTCCACGTCCACAGCCCGGCACCAGGGCCTTCCGCCTCTGACCGTCCTGGGCGATGGGCCCGCCAATGGTGCCAGCTCGCTGGACCAGGGTGTCTTCTAGCGCGGGGTTGGGAAAGCCACGATCCCAGGGCAAATTATCACCTTTGTCCCAGAGGGCCGCCCAGCCCTCAACATACTTGTCGCCCTGATATTTGGCAAAATACGCTTGAACATCCTTGGGATCAATGTTGGTAGGAGTCGGCATGGCTGTGGGGTGGTGATGGAGTCGGGGGAAGTTGGAGGTGCTCGCTCTGGCGTGGCAGTGATAAACAGTGTAAAAAATTAGGAATAGTACCGAGTGGTCAGAAACTATTGACTGCACAGGCAGGTAAATGATACTAGGTGCACGGCGTCTGTTCTACTTATGCCTCTCTACACCCGTAATTGAGTGACTTTACGCCGTGATTAGAAATCATTGTCGATAGGATAACCTCAAGCTCCGACCGCGAACCAGTAGTCAGGTGTTGGGTCGAAAGTTAATCAGTCTTTACCTGTTTATTCATCATACCGATTAATCAGTCTTTACCTATTTATTTATTAAACTACTACAGTGGCATGGGATTGGCCCAGGCGGAAATCTTGGACCCACCATTGACCAAGAATTACGCTGCTCTCTATTTCTAGTTACCATTCTCTCCTATTATTTTTTCCCTAAAGGCTTTACTATTATTAGGGCTGACTACAGCAACCCACACTCGCCTAAATCTGCTATGTAAAGTCAGGACGTTATAAATAGTGGAGACGCAGCTAGGAACCAAAAAGATAAGGTTTTGACTGAAGACATCAACGTTAATGCTGCGCTAGTCATTGCATCTACTCCGTAATGAGTTAGTGAGTTGGTTCACTTAACTAGAGCTGGGAATGTACAATAATCACTCCGGGCGGATGATTTATCAAAGATGGTTGAAATAACTAAGTACTTGGTGCCGCAGAGGCTATGGTGGAGGGTAGGGCGGACACGGTAAAGTGAGCGTAGTTGAACCGTTCAACAAGGCATCCCCCTCTGCCGATGCGCTGTAAGGACAGGAGACGAACCCAGGCAGCTCGCGCCCCAACAGATCACCAGTCACCACAGCTGGGAAGCTTTGAGAATGCAATATGGTCTTAATTACCCAATGAAACTAGTACAACAGTCTAAGCTTGGCGCAAGTGCGCAATTTTATGATCTAGGATTTGAATCTTCCTTTGTGCAGCTTCAATACCACACCTGAAGCCAGCACGTACGCGCTCAACTTCGCCCTCCGGCTTTACCCTTCTTCGAGTAGGGTATATTGGCAATCTTTCACTCTTCAATAAACACTATGCGTCTACGTAGACGCCCTCTTCGTCGCCTTGGTTCGCAACTTCATCATCAAGAACACCAGGGCGTAGAACACTCCAGCCCACAATACAACCAGCCCCGCATTCCTCCAGCCGTAGTACTCTTCGTTCAAGTTGAGTGTCTTCAAGTAGTCTTGTCCAGTAGTGTATCGGCACACCTCGCAGTTCTCCGTAGCGCCCGGGTTCAGAAGGTTCGTGCCACGTCCCATGCCTTGCTGATAGGTGGAGAGATAGTCGCCACATGTCTCGTTCGCAGGAGGATTGAAGACCGCAAGCTCGTCTCGTTCGCAAGTGATATCGACGGAGAAGGTGGTGAAGGTGAGGAAGGCGCCGAAGAGGTAGTTGAAGGGATCGAGGTAGTAGAGCCTAAAATGTGATGTTAGCATTGATCTCGTGGGTGTTGATAGTCGTATGAGGCTTACCAGTATCTCCAGAACGCCGTGATCTGGGAGTAAGGGGCGAAGACACCACAGAATGATACAAGGGTGGTGATGACCAGCGGGTTGACGAGAGATGCAAAGGTTGCGTTGGGAGCGTACGCGGCGATCGATTGTCCAATGCCGGTGTACAACATCTCGTAAAACATCTAGACGATTTGTTAGTTTGGAGCGAGGAGTCAACCAAAGCAGAGAGAACTTACTGCGACGAAGAATGTGCTGCCTGCCCACTTGGTATCATTTGGCAATCCAGCAGTCCAGTACCAACACACAAAGTACAACACACCGCAGACGACCAGGTAGGGCAGCTCAGAAACAATCAAGCCAGTGACGAATGGCACCCAGTGGTAGGTCTTACTCTTCTTCTCGCGCGTCTCATACACGTTGCGACGATCGATGAAGATAGGCTGAAGCTGGGAGATGAGACCGGGGGCGACAAACAGGAAACTGAAGACCGTGAAGAGTCGTTGCTGGAGATCGCTGACGCTGTTACCAATCGACCAGAACGAAAAGCCGTTGTAAAGAGACAGCAGTATATGCAAGATGAGCTTGTTGTTGATGTACTCGGTGTTGCGGAACAAAGAGATGTTCATGCGGTGCGTGACAAGCTTTACCTGCTCCCAAATGGGCGCTGCGAATTGATGGCCGTCGTCGACAGTTCCAGGCGATTTGGCGGCAGCATCGGCGACAAGAGCGTCAAGCTCTTGAGTGATCTTCTCGTGTTCTGGCGAGTTGAGCCAGACTTGGTTCCAGTCCTTGCCCTTAGAAAGACTTCCTGATACGACTTCAATCATGTGCTCAGCAGGGTTGGCCTCTCGGGGGCACGGTGCGCCATGATCAGCGAAGTATTTCTTGACGGTCCTTGCCTGATGGCCGATATCGCCAAAGTATACGGTCTTGCCACCATTCGCCAGTAGGAGGAGGGTGTCGAATTGGGCAAAGAGGTCGGCCGATGGCTGATGAATCGTGACGAGGACAGCTTGTCCGACTTCCGCGAGTTTGCGCAAGAAGCGTACCGTGTTGTTTGCAGCTTGGCCATCGAGACCAGAAGTAGGTTCGTCGAGGAAGATCAAAATACTGGGCTTAGCTACGAGCTCAACACCAATTGTGAGACCTGATAAGTTGTTAGTGTCTGTCTCGACTCTGTTCGATGGATTCAGACGTACGCTTGCGCTGTTCGACAGAAAGACCGGCACCAGGGCGACCGATGAGGGTGTGCTCAAGATCTTCCAACCGTAGAAGCTTGACGATCGTGTCCACATAGCGGAGCTTCTCCTCGCGGGGGATTTCACGATTCTGACGAAGAAGAGCAGAAAATTCCAAAGCCTCGCGTACCGTGGACAATGACTCGTGGACATCCATCTGTTCGACGTAGCCAGCAGATCGTTGGAAGGACAAAGGGAGCGGGCGACCATCGACTAGAACGGAGCCATGAATGGTACCATCAGTCTTGCGTTGAGCTAGAACGTCGAGCAATGTAGTCTTCCCGGCCTGAGTGTAAATGTTAGCATATATCCATCTGTCAATCGCATTTCTAGCGCACTTACACCCGAAGATCCCATAAGAGCACCGAGCGTACCGGGCTTGACAAATCCTTGAACGTTGTCGAGAAGAACACGATCACCATGCGGCGTCTTGACGGTGTAAGTCAGATTCTTCCAGGTAAATACCGATGTATTGTGGACGAGCTGGTTGTCAATGGTTGCGTCAGTCTTCTCGGAATCAGAGTTGGAGTTCTCGGATGGCTTCTCGACAGCCTGGGATTCCTCATCCGCAACCACGGCCTTAAGTAACTTCTTCTGCTTCTCACGGGGGATGAGGAGACCGCGACCACCTTCGCCCATCTGCTTCCACCTGGAAGTGAAGAAGATGGTCATTGCAACGAAGAAAACGTACCAGGCGCAGAGAATGCCAAAGTTGCGCCAAAGGTTGCTGTGGCTGAAGGACATGGAAGCCAGGTATTGGTCACCAGTAACGCTGGTTGCTCCAGGAGGCGCACCACGGACGCCGGTACATGCTTGTCCGCCTCCTGTTTCCGGGCTGTATCCTGCGCCATTTGGAACCAGGAATGGGCCCACACAAGGAATCACCTGGTCGTGGAACTCATTCGCGAGCAATGCTTCGAACGCGTAGGCCATGGGGTCGATCCAGAAGAACCAAACGAACCAAGGGTGCATATCGGGCTTGGGAATCATGTATCCTGCATATGTGAAGGCAGCGACGATGGTGAATCCAGAAGCTTTAGTTGCTGCGTCGAAATTCGGGAAAGCGGCACCGATGAACCTGAACAGCTGTGTCATAGCCAGGGCCGAGATCAAGTTGATGAGCCAGAAGATGAAGAAAGCTTGGGCGGTGTACTGGAATCCAGTCATGAAGTACAGCACAATTCCAAAGTGCGAGATTTGGAAGAGCATGATCGGGATGTCGGTAATGATCTGGGCGAAGACAAAGGCAGAGGGATGGTGGAGAGCGAAGTCTCGGTGTTTGGCTAAGACGGGTCGGCCGACGAACGAATCCGTAACCTCGGCGAGAGCGATGAAGGTAGGATATAGTAGAGAGAAGAAGAGAGAGCCTCCCTTGATGAACAAGCCCGCCGTGTTGTCCGGAGCATTGTAGAACAGTGAGCCACCGATCAGCGCCTGAACGATAGTTGTGGCTTGCTTGATGAACAGAGTTTTCTTGTCGCCCCAGAGGATCTGAAATTGGCGTATGGTAACCGTCTGCACCTGATGGAAATATCCTGCGGACTCCGCAGCTTTCTTTGGGAGGTTCTTGTGCTTGTCTTGAGCCTCCTGTTCCTTGAAGTCCGCCGTATTCTGCTGAGCTTCGGGGCTATTGGGATAGTCGAGCTCGGCCATCATCCTTGGCTTGATGGGCGAGTTGTTATAAGCAGCGAGCAGCTCCTCTGTTGATCGAGGAAATCGGTCCTCAAAGTCTGGGGCAATTGTGCAAACAGAAGGCGCCGATACGCTCGTGAGGAAATCTGACTTGTTGGCTGCAGGGTCGCATAGGAAGCCAAGATGCTCCATGTATGGCACAGCTTCGTCTCGAGGTCCGTAAAAGATCTGCTTGCCGTTATCGAGAATCAGAATCTTGTCGAACTGCTCGTAGATGCCATTACCAGCTTGGTACAGACTGGCAATTGTAGTGAGACCAAGAATATCTGTCATGGCGCGCATGGCTTTCGTCCAATCTAGCGCAGTGCTCGCGTCGAGACCACGAGTGGAGTTATCCCAGGAGAAGACGCTGCCTCTAGTCGCAAGGCATTCGAGAATGGACACTCGCTTGCGCTCGCCACCCGAAACGCCACGAATGAACTCATTTCCGACCTTGGTATCCTTTGTGTGTGTGATACCGAGAGACTTCAAGAGGATTTCTTTGTATATTTGGGCGTACTCCTCCTCGTTCTTGATGTCCGGTGGCAGGTGGAACGGCACCTTCAAACGTGTGGCGAAGTCGATGGTGTCACCAACTGAAAGAGCTGGAAAGAAGATCTCCTCCTCTGTGTTCATGGTGATCTGACCATGATATTGTTTGGCTTCCTGACTGGTCATGGAACCGAACCAGACGTCGCCAGTAATTTCTGCGAAGCCATTTCTGTGGTTTGATAGAACGCTAAGCAGTGTTGTGCATCCGGCCCCTGGATTTCCAAGAACAAGCAACATCTCACCGGGTTTGACACATCCAGAAGAGTTGTCGATAATAGTCTTCAGGGGTGGGCTCTTACTGCCCTTCCCGAATGGGTTGAATTGAGAGAGAACATTTTCGTTGTAAAGCGCATCACTGCTGATGCCCCTTACTGTGAGGTTCTGCCATGTCACACCCAGCTTCTTCAGTTTCCCACCGTTAGTCTCGTTACTTTGTCGTATTTGTAGTATATCTGGAGTGATGGGCCATTGTGAGATGTCTCGGGGGTCGGTCTTTTGGCCGGATTCGTCGTCTGACTGCTCCGCGCTGGAGTTGACGATAGGGTCCGCCATTGGAGAGGGAGATCGTCCGGAGGGCTTTCCGAGCGAACTCGTCTGGTACATCGCTTTCTCGGGGTCGCAATTGACCTCCATGTTGTAGTTCTTCGGATTCGCTAATGTGCCAGACTTTGACAGTAGAAGAACCTCGATGGAAAAAAATGCTGGAGATCAGACGACTGGAGTTGCCGGTGAGAGAGCAGCAACATCATGCACAAGATATAAGAACAACAAGGTAATGAGATATATGACCATAACTTAGCTTCCGATTAATAATCCGATTCAAGGCCTGGAGCCCAAAGAAGCCCTCTGTCTCATCCCTTATAAATGTGCTGAACGAAGAGCATGGCATGGAACATCTTTTCGACGGGGTGATTAGTGAACATTTCGTGTATTAGGGGTTTCCTAACTGTAACGGATAGGAGTTTTAGTGAGCATCTCGTGTATTGTTTTCCTAACGGCCAGTTCAACCGTCTTTGTGGAATCATCAGGCATAACTTAACTATCCGCTCGGATTGATTAATATACATTCCTAGCTCTAATTAAGAACACTACAAACTACATGTAGTGGGGCCTGATTGCTACTATTAGAGTCCCCTGCCCTATTTGGGTGGGTCTAACCTTATAAACTCCATCCTAGATTGATGATCGAACGACTAGCATCAATTCAGTGCGCCAATGACAATCGACTGAACCCACTTGTCCCCAATGGTCATACTCATCTTTCTTCTATAGGAATTTCTTTTGCCTGATCCCAGTTGTTATTAACTAACTTATCCGCTTGATTATTAATTTGCCACCGCCGCTAACTAACTACTCCCTTAGGATCAGACACATTAGACCTTTGCTCGAAACGTTTATTCATATTTCCGGGTGTTGCATTATCAACTAAAGTTAATGTAATTAGTTAAAACCTGTTAGAACGCTTGGATTAGTTAAATAAAACATATAATAGAGATTATAAAAAGCCTTATATTAGTATAAAGAAAAATACTATATTAGCCTATATAAATAGCTATATTTACTAATAAATAAAAAAACTACTTTATTAAGCTTTATAATTAAACTTAAATGAGCCAAGTAGCTTTATAATTTATAATATAATAAATAAAATAAACAGTCTATATTTTAATATATTTTTATTTAATAAAGCTATTGTAAATATTTTATTAAATATTATAGTTCTATTTTTTATTATTATAATATTTAAAGGTTTTTTTAAATATTTAATTAAATATTTTATAAAGGTCTTAAGTATTATTTTAAATACTTTATTATTATAATAAATTACTATAATATTAATTATAAAATAAAAAATATTTTTATTATTAATTTAATTAATAATAATAATAATAATAAAACTTTATTTTTTTAAATTTTATAAAAAACTTTAAAAAATTAAAAAAAAAAATAATAATAAAGTATTTTTAATTATAAATATTTTTTATAATATTTTTATTTAAATTTATTAAATTAATAATAACTTAAAGTATATATATATTTAATAAAATAATACTTTAGTAAATTTATTAATTAATATTTTTTATATAATTAAATAAATTATTTTAAATATATTTTATTAATATTTTTACTAAAGCTATATATTTTATATATTAATATAATATAAATATATATTAAAATATTTATTTTAATTAAAAATAAAAATAAATACTTAATAAAATAATATTTATAATAAAATATTTTAAAAATTATAAATAAATTTTTTATTTTTTTTAATTTAAAATAAAATTTTATTTTATTATTTATATATTGTTATTTATTTATTATATTTGTATTTTTAAGTATATAAATTAAAGATATATTTAATATAATTATTTCAATATATATATTAAAAAAATAAAATAATTAAAATAAAATATTTAACAATATTAAAAAAATAACAAAAATAATAAACCTTTAATTTAAATTTAAGTTATAGTAAAAACCCTATCTGCTTTTTTATAAATAAACCATCAACCAGCAGATTAATAGTTAAGTAGGCAACTATTAGCAAACAACGGTTGTTATATATTTCTTTTTTATTCTTTTACTCTCTATTTTAGTCCTCTTTGCCTATCCCTTTGAGTTGTTGCTTGAATAGACATCTACTTCCAGTAAGTTTGATGCTTTTGTTGCGCAAGAAAGCGACGGCAAACAGAGGGGCTTAGTGGATTCGGAATGATAAATGTACTAGAGAATGGGGAAATATATTCACCTATTGAACAATGGCAGCACTATTACCGCTTGTGCTTCGAATCCTTGGGCTTCAGCGGTTGGCGAGATGCATTCCGCAAACACGCCTTTCCTGTTGTATCGGAGATGGAATATTTGTTGTGTTATGTGGAAAACTCGTGACTCTTGGATGAATTTGCTGTTATTTTATACGAGAGGTGTAACTCTTGTGTTGTTTATCTCGTAAATGTTTGGGCGTACGATCCGGAGGAGGGTAAACATAGCTGAGTGGACACGACTAAATAGATCGATGACGTGCAAGAACAACACGAGGTAACAAAAAGATAACGAAATGCAAAAAGGTACGTTTATGCCGTTTAATTCATATAGCAAATATTCTTGGCTGATTCGGACACTGAGCTTGGAAGATGCCATTTCCATTATCTGATTGCGTGCCATTCCCCAGCAGGAACGTTTATTTCATTCCGCATGCAAGTTCCTGCACTCATCACCATATTTGCATGTTCCGCTCCGATAAAATTTGCATTTCTGCTGCTTCTTTGTTGCAGGGCCAATATGGGATTCCCTTATTGTTATTGGTGTTGCCATTACTCTCCAATCTCTGGAGGCGCCCTTCACTGACCCAGACCTGGAGCGAGGCGATTGATGGCCTGAAGAAGTATGAGCTGGAACTGGCTGGAATATTCCAGGAAACTCTTCAATTTCCATATCTAACCGGTCGTAATCATCTTGGAATTTGACATCAGGCGCTGTCACCAGCGTTAACCGTTCTCTGCTGCTAGAAAATGTCGCTAAATCAGATATGTACCCGCCGTCGTGACAGCCCGCAAAATAGATGTGTTTACACTGTGGGCTTGGGGCATATAGATTGAGTGCAGCACGCAGCTTCAAGTCAGCTGTCTCATCCCACTCTCCGACGTCGACGAAGTCGAAGAGCCCATATGACCTGTTGAAGCTGGCGACAAACGGGGCGAGAGATCGCTTCTCGGGACCTGTCAAGCGTGCTCTGTAGAGATTCTTTGATAAGCCGGCAACGTCTGCATATACTCGCACCATAATCTCGCAGTGCTCGAGGTCTTTCTTCCTGAGACTGCTCTTGATAGACTCGTTGAGAAGTTGTGCTGCAGTTCGTCCGCCATTAGCACCGTTGCCTACCAAGGTTTCGTGGAAGACGTAAGCATCGCCATCAACCAAGACTAGTACAAAAGGATTGCCGCCTTGGCCTTTAGACATTTGTTTGTATCTTTCTCTACCATCACGTTCTTCTTCATAGTCGCTCTTCAGACGCTTATAATTTTCAAGCAAGGCGGCATATTGATCCAGTATGCTAGGCAAGGTCGTGTCCATGCGGAACCGAGCCAACTGGATGGCCGCTTGCTCAAGGTCATCGTCATTTAGCATCATGACCTCTGGGAGTTCGGGTGTTGCGAAAAGAGCAGTGATAAGGGCCCAATGTTGATGAAATTATGCAGACTGGAGGCGGGCTTCTCTTCTTAGCTTTGCGCTCTAAGAGAAATGCTCATACCGAAGTGACAACTCGAAGCTCTTCTGGATTGAATTCACAAAGACAACCTAAGAGAAAGATTTCGCTGCCATCGTCATTTTAAAGCTCCAAAAAGCCGTTATGCGGAGGCGGGATACGACCCACTAAAGCTCACCTGATGCCATCTTTTTTTTTATCCAATACTTTTTATCTTGATTTGTTTTGTCTTCTCAGGTAGCATTGAGAGGCCTACCAAAACTTAGCCCCGCATCTCGTTTCAGCCTGAGTTCATGCATTATAATTCATTTACTGGTTGTCTCTCAGTTGATGAAATCTATTTATGTTAGGTGTGTATCGTCTTGCGTTCACAGAAAGTAATTGAAGTGTTTTCAGTTTGAGCTTCAGCCTCTATATCCTGTACTCTTTTACCATCTACTTAGCTAGGGTGATGCAAAGGGCCACACACACCATGCCTGAAAATATCGGTTCAGTACGCCGGTTCTTCCAGAAGCAAAAGGATATTGTGTTTACATTAATTAGCATTTCTCTGAAGTTATTTTATTATCACTGCAACAGCCAGCAACACTGAACAGAATGCAATACAAAGACACATTTTTTTTTTTAAATTTAACAATCTATAGGAAATCCTTTAACAGTACTACTCTGCAAGCTATGACTATCTCATATATCAAATGTTATATGACTACACCTATAGCAAAGATGCCAATCTCAAGGTCCAGCCTTAAGTATTTCTATCTTAACAAGTGTTTCCTCCTAAAGCAATCCTTCAGCCGATGATATGCTAACAATCTCCAAGTTTTACTTCTCACATCTCACAAATGTTCCATCATAATCCCGAGCAGCTTATTTCGCTTCCTCAGCAAGCCTCTCTTGCAGCCTGCCCGCTAAGTCTTTGAGTGAGTTGCTCTGTGTGACATCAAAAATACTAACACCGCCAACAACGTTCAACACTAGCCAGTTTCGCAACTCTCCTGCAACCAGGGAATCCACACCGTAAGCTGTGAGAGGCATCTCGGCATCGACTTCGGACGCGGACATTGCGAAGACATCAGCTAGACGTTCCTTCAAAGCCTCAACCAATAGGCCGTGCGCTGTCTCGCTTGGGCTGCTGATGAGACGATCCTTCAGAGATTGCTGTGCTGAACCTTCTCCATCAGCGCCATCGCCAGGAAGCCACAAGTGAGCAAACCGAGGCTCCAAACGCCACTGCAGACTACCTGGAGTCGTCCAGCTCTTAAGCCCGGTGACTATCTGGCCCAAGCGTGGGTGAAGGATAGACATCTGAATGAGGCTCAAAAGCTCAGGCACTTCTTGAGCACGGTAACCGGCTCTCTCCAACTTAGCACCAACACCAGCACGAGCAGCTACACCTACAGCTGGCACACTACCAATGTTAATGGAAACACCAGGCAAGCCCTTGCTGACTCTGTTCCATGCGAGAGCATCCTGGTAACTTCCTCCTGCCGTGTAGTTTGCCTGTCCACCATTTCCTAGAATGCATGTGGCGGATGAGAGAATAATGAAGAACTCTAGGTCAGAGTCTTGGAAGAGCTCATCCAGGTTTCCAGTTCCCTTAACCTTGGGACCCACCGCAACATGCCATTTCTCTTGGCTCATGTTGGTAAAAACAGAGTCTGACAAAGCCACGGCTGACTGGACAACACCACGAATTGGCCCCTTCTTGCGAGCTTCAACAACAACTCTCTCAAGGCTTGCCTTGTCAGTCACATCGCAGCTGCGGAGAACTGTTTGAGCTCCAGCTTCAGCAAGAGCAGCGACAAGTGCTGGGCCATCTTCTTGCTCCTCTGCTCGTCGCGACACCAGGATCAGGTTCTTCGCTCCTTGCTTGGCGAGCCAGAAGGCGATTTCTTGACCAATACCGCTAAGTCCACCGATAATAAGGTATGAACCAAGAGGGTCAAACTTGGGCGGAGCTTGGGTTACAATTGTCTATAGACACGTCAGTATACATGGAAGAGAAGAAGAAAAGAGATTGAATGTTCTTAATACATACCGGTACCAGGTCACCTTCAGTGGCGCGAATGACAAATTTACCAATGTGGCGACCGCGTTGCATTTGACGGAATGCGTCTCGCAGGTTACCCAGCTCATAAAGCAAGAGGGGAACCTCATGCTTAATCTTTCCAGCGGCAAACAGATCTATGACGCCCCGGAAGGAGTTGAAAAGTGTCTTGCCACTGTGAATTCCTAGCATCACAAGATCCATTGCGATATAGCTCGTGGAATTGCTAAAATTTCTCATACCCAGGCTTTTGTTGCCCTGAGAGTCTTGTTTACCCAGTTCAATAAAGCGTCCGAGTTTAGCAACGCAATCCCAACTAGCCTGCAACAAAGGACCTGCCAAAGAATTCAACACGATATCTACTCCCTTTCCTCCAGTAGCTCGCATAACGTCTTCAGCAAAAGATATATCACGGCTAGAGAACATGCGATCACGGGGAATGCCATATTGTTTAGAAAGGAATTCTCGCTTCTCTTCCGAACCAACGGTGACATAGATTTCCGCCTTCAGGTATTGAGCAATAGCGATAGCTGCCAACCCGACACCACCAGCTGCAGAGTGGATCAGAATGCTTTCACCCTCTTGCAGGTCAGCAAGTTTGATCAGAGCGTGATATGCTGTTCCAAAGATAATGGGAACAGAAGCTGCTGCTTCCAGACTCATGCTATCTGGAATACGCATCACGCTATGCCATGGCGTGCGAACCTTGTTGGCCCAGTTTCCATATTGCATGAGTGCGCAGACTCGGTCACCAACCTTGACGTGGGTGACTTTGGACCCAACTCGGCTAACATATCCTGAGCACTCGAATCCCATAATCTTCTCCTGCATTTGGTCTAATGCGATAAGAACGTCTCGGAAGTTGAGACCAAATGCATGCGGTGTGATCTCAACCATCTCCTCGTTCCATGTACCAGATTGCCACAGAGCCTCATCTTCTTTGAAGACAAGACTGTCCAATAGACCAGGACTTGTAGCTTCCAAGTATGTGTATGGGCCCGAGAATGAAAATTCTTTGAGCTGAGGTGGATTTCTGCCTTGCAGTCTTCCAAACTGCTCATTAATGCTCTGGTCTCCGATATATCGGAGAATGTTTAACCGGCCTGAGCGAACTGAAAACTCATACTCGCGATGCTCGTGGCTGTTGGAGTTCAAAGCGTAACGGAATACATCGTCAACCACTTGGATTGCAGATAGATCCCAACATCCTCGCTCTGGGTCCAAGTCAAGATTGATAAATGTCTTCGAGGCATCTTCAGCTCTGAGAGTTCGCAGTAGACCCAGACCCATCGCAGCTTCTGCCTCGTTGCCATCTCCAGCGTGTGATACCCACATGATGCCGTCAGCCTCTAGCAGTGCTGTCTGCAGGGCAGTGAAGGTCTCTTGAGTGGTATCAGACAAAAGTTTGTCCTTGCTCTGTACCCAAATAATAGCAGTCTTGTTCTGCAACGACGCCTTTCCGAGCTCGGCAACCGAAACTTCCGTACCGGTACTGTCATGAAGCGACTGGATAAGCTGATCCAGCCATTTTTGAGGTGCTGCGTCTTTGGAGTTGGGTAGCTGGATCAAGACAGTCTCCTTGGGATAGGTCACAGTGTGGAAAAGCGCATTGCTAGTGGCGGTAGCTGCGATAAATGAGTATTCAGAGCCGTGCACTACAACCTCTGAGCTGTGAAAGCCATTCTCAGCTAACACTGATTCCAGCTTTGCATCCAGAGATTTCTCTAGGACCAATGCTGTGCCTCCAGACTTCAAGAGATGGCGAATATGCTTAGTACTCTTGCTGACATCTGTAGCATTTTGTAGAACGTTTGAAACAATAACCAAGTCATAGCTTTCAGCATTAACACCTTGCTCGCCAGGGCTCTTTTCGATATCAAATTCTTGATACCGAATTTGGCTGTCAAATTGCCCAAATTGCTTCTCAACCTCTGGGAATGACTCAGCAGAGATGTCTGCATAATCATATCTATGGGCTGACAATGTTCCTGGAGTCTCTTGTGAAAGCCCCCCGAGAATAACAGCGGAAGTAGCTCGTGCGCCGGCGCCAACTTCCAAGATCTTGGCACGGGGATATTTGTGAGCAAAGAGGCTGACGTACTCCTTGAGCTTATTCTCACTCTGAAGATCTTTTGCAGACAGCTTAGAAAGGTCTGGCTTGTGGACAGGCTTCAACGTAGCAGTGTTATCTACTTCCTCTGAGGTCTGAGCAGACTTGAGAGCAAGAGATTTGACCTTTAAGCGCTCAGCATTCAAAACAATCCGTTCTTGATCGCCATCAATCTCAGACAAAGTGATAGAAACTTCGAAGCCATGAAGATCTAGGTGAGTGAGCCTGGCGACAGCCTTCATCTTTGTACCGGGCTTCTGGTTGGTGTTGGAGCTGAGGTACAGTTTCCCAGCATACTCAGGCAAGCAGAGACCAAACTTTTCCAGAATAGCCGGAGGCATGGTGCTCCAAGCAATTTGGAAACAAGCGTCCATCGTTGTGGGATGAACGAAATACTTAGATTCGTACTCTTTAGGCATAAGTGCAATATTGTCAGTCACAGTGATGGACGCAAGCACATGGCCACTACCAAAATCGACAGATGACACCGTCTGGAAAGCGGGTCCCAGAGTTGGGCCTCCGTTAGCAATCTGCTCGTAGAAGACTCCCAAATCAAGAGAAGTTAATTTGGTGTCTTTAGGCATGACAACAGGGACTTGTGGCTTGTCACTGGCGATTCCGACTTTACCACTGCAGTGTCCGATCCATTTGCCATCTCTTCCTCTAGAAAGGATCGAGAATTCCTTGTAGGTAAGAGTGTCCAACATCCGCTTGCTTTGGTCCCGAAGTATCAGCTGTACCTCTACTCCATCGTCCGTTGTTGGGACCATCAGGGCACTGTACAAGTTGACATCGTAAAGCATGTAGCCTCCAAGTGCTTGCTCCTCTGGCGTGGCAATCTGGTGCATGGCTTCTATCGCCATGGTAGCCAAACCAGCACCAGGGAACAGAATTTGCGTTTGTAGGCCATGATCTGCCAGCCAAGGAACGTTGGAAATGCGAAGCACATTTCTCCAAATATGAACGTCTGAGTTTAAGCCGGTAACCTTTAATCCAAGCAGGTCATGGTGAGCGAATTTCCTGTTCAGAGCTTCTGTTACTGCAGGTGCCTCGACCCAGTATTTCGCGTGGTTCCACGGATATGATGGAAGATTATGGACAACCTGCAGGTTCTTGGTAGGTTCGGGAAAGTTAACAGCCTCAAAATTAACGGGATATCCCTGGCAGAAGAGTCGGCTTGCCAAGCTTCCCATAGTGCGAACAGCATCTTCTCCACGTTTCAGAGAAGGGCCGTTTGTTGCATTGCACTCCTTCAAGACTGGATCAGCGAGGATCTGGCGAATAGGTCCCTGGAGAGCTCCGTGAGGTCCAATTTCGATAATGGCATCGACAGTAAACTGTGAGCCTCCAGTCTTCTCAGATTGGTCTGATAGTAGCATGTCTTTCAGAGCGTCCTCAAATTGAACGCACTGCACCATGTTCTGAACCCAATGCCCAGGCTCAGCCAAAGATCTCTTCTCGCTATTTCCCACACGTTTTCCAGAAACAGGAGATGAGAAAATAATGTTTGACTCTGGCAGTTCGGGCTTCTGCAAGTACTTGTCGAGACTCGAGTGATATACTTCAGCCAGAGGATCCATATGCGTAGAGTGATATGCCGCTGGGACCCTTAGACGTCGGAAGAATGCACCTTCAGCTTGCGCTCGCGCTTCGAGCTCAACCAAGGCAGATGCATCTCCAGAAATAGTCACGCTATTGGGACTGTTGACACATCCAACCACGGCCTTTCCAGTGGTAATTTCTGCAAGATATTGCTGAGCAACCTCTTTGCTGGTGGCGAGCGCAGTCATACCGCCTTGAACTTTACCAGCGTCCACATACTCAGCCGTGAGATGGCCTCGGACATACGCAATTGTGATGGCGTCCTCAAAAGTGAGCAATTTAGCCGCATAAGCTGCCGAAATCTCACCGCTGGAGTGACCAGTTGTGGCACTTGGAACCACACCCCAAGATTCAAGCAGCCGAACTACAGCCAGTTGAATAATAACCGACAAAGGGAAACTGAACTGCGGCTTATTGACTTGGGTCTGCTGTTCATCCCGCGATAGCTCCTCTGTAATTCTTGATGTCAGCTTTCAATTGCATTTTAGAGGTTGAGAGAATGGAACCCACCAAAGACACTCCATTTGGAACCCAGTGATTTGACATGCTTTTCTGCGTCTTCCAGAGCTTGGCGAAATACTGGGTAAGCTGCAATGAGTTCTCGTCCCATAGCATGCCACTGAGCACCTTGTCCTGTAAAGACAAATCCAAGTCGAGGCACCTTAGCCAAACTAGCCTGCGATGGGTTGAGACTGGAGTCTTTGAGTGCAGAACGGAGCTCGTCGACTGATTCGGCTGACACTACTGTCCTCCATGCAAACTGTGAACGTCGCTGGGTCAGAGTATAAGCCAGATCGGCAAGGCGCTCTTCTGGGAAGCCAGAGTCCAGATAGCTTTCAAGCTGTTTTATTGACTCTCGTGCACCCTTCTCCTCTCTGGCACTGAGAGTAAAGTGGTAGCGATGGCTTGGTGACTCCTTCTTAGTAACGCCATTGGCCTTAGCGGGCACATGATATCTAGCATCTTCGATGATAGCATGTGTGTTGGTACCTCCAGCTCCGAAGTTGCTAATGGACACTCTTCGCAGACTGTGTGATGGCCAAGGCGTCAATTCTGTTGGTACCTAAAATACCAGTCAGTATTCTCTTTGATTCACAAAAACAAATTAGTAATTACCTTGAGATTGAGTGCCTTGAAATTAATTTTGGCGTTGGGGTTCTCATATAAGGCGTGCGGTGGGATGCAACCCCTTTCTAGCATCTCCACAACTTTGATGATGGCAGCAAGACCACTGGTTGATTCAGTGTGTCCAACGTTGGCTTTGACAGATCCAATATAGAGAGGCTCATCGGGCTTTCGACCCTTTCCGATGGTGTTTCCCAGGGCCTTGGTTTCTGTTGTGTCACCCGCAATTGTACCTGTGCCATGGCTTTCTACGTAGCCTGTGTCGATGGGATTTAGGCCAGCCCTTTCATAAGTAGCTTTAATCAAGGCTTCTTGAGCTTCTTGTGAAGGAGACGTAATGGTTGGCGTTTTACCGTCCTGGTTTGAACCTGTTTCTCGGATCACTGCACGGATAGGGTCACCATCTCGGAGAGCGGCGTCAAGAGACTTGAGGACAATGGTAGAGACACCCTCACCACGGCCATAACCTTCGGCCCGATTGTCAAAACCGAAGGATTTACCGGAAGGACCTGTAAGTCTATTCGGTTTATTGGGTTAGCATTATGATTCCAGCCAAGCGCTCTCTTGATGCCATGTACTGTGCATTGATTCACTTACCCCAAGTTGGACAATCCTAGTCCTGATGACGGAAATAGAATCAGGTTAGTCCGCCGACAACGGACATTGTAGCATCGCCAGTTCGAATGCTCTGACAAGCTAGATGGAGCGCAATCATGGCTGTGGAGCAAGCTGTATCAACAGCAACGCTAGGACCTTGAAGGTCAAAGAAATGGGAGAGTCGATTTGCTACCAGGGAACCCGAGTTTCCTGTGAGGAAGTAACGAGGCAAGTTGTCAATATCTTGCACCTGCAAATCGTTATAGTCGTGAAACATAGCTCCAGCGAACACAGATGTTAAAGATCCAGCGACTTGTTCCAGAGTCAGGCCAGCTACGAAGAATTAGCAGATGTTCATTGAAAGTGACAAATGACGTATAATACCTGACTCAAAGGCTTCAAATGTGGTCTCGTAGAGCATACGAATCTGTGGGTCCATAGCCTGTGTATGATGTTAGCATTGCTTTTGGGAAATGTACGAAGAAAGCACCTACTCTGGCTATGTCCGCAGTGAGACTGAAAAATGAGGTATCAAACAGCGAGACATCCTCATTCAGAAAGTGTCCACCATGGCTGTGTATCTACAAAGATCAGAAATATTAGGACGTGAAATTCGCAATCAACCGATAATAGTAGAACAGGATTGACATGGTACGAGGCCTAACATACGGTTCCAAGGTTTTCTGGTCGAGGATGATAGAATGCATCTCCATTGTACCTGGTCGGAGGCACCTTGGACCAAGTATTTCGAGCTTCCGCACACAACTCCCACAGGCGTTCAGGAGTGCTGGCATCACCAGGGAAGCGGCAAGCCATGCCAATGATGGCAATTGGCTGTGTCTTATGTGTGGACGACATGACGATGATTCTTCTGTGGAAATGAATTCAGAGCGTGCCGAATGATAATCTGGATCGACTGCCAAGTAACGGGACCATACCTACCTATATATACAAAATCACAACCTGTGGCACAACTCGCTATCCTCTCTCTTCTCGTTATCTATAGCATCTTGAAGCCTTTCCTACGTGGCACAATGTATCGTAATTGATCATCGATCCTTCGTTGATGATGACGAGCTTAGTACGACATTGCACCTCCGTTGGCCCTTCTCATGCAAAGTCGGAGTCGGTTCGGCTTCCACCCCTGGTCGGCCGATGCCCCTAGTCGGTCCCTTGGGGTTACTTTGTATGTACGCGGAGCCGCTACTTACATAAAAGCCAAGAAGGAAATTTGAACCTTAATTAAAAAGAACTAAATATCCCATTGCTCTTTTTACTTCAAAGAATATTAAGACGTTCATATAAAGTTTACTATACAACATTAATTGATGGTCCAAAAACTTTTATATACACATACATTTCCACCTTATAGAGAAGATTTAGAACTTGAGCCTCGATTGCTCTATTGAACGTGGGCCTTGGTAATATTTCCCTTTCTGTAAGCTTCTAGCCCGAAATATGATAGGTAGGAGCCGGCAGCAGGGGTGGTAGAAAAGACCGCAAGCAGCACTATACAGGTCCACGTAATAAAGGCAGAGAATCCTTTGCTGGGTGCACATATGAGTCGTAAGATTGCCTGTGTTTATCTCTGGTCCCGTTTGCATTGCAACGTCTAACGGCAGGACGCGCTATGAAACACCAGATGGCATTTACTTTGACACATGAACAAGGATATCGGATGAAACTAATCCGACCGGAGTAAAAAAAAAAAAATTAAAACGTTAAAATCCTACTAGCACGCACATACGGAATTATACGATTGGATAATTTTCCTTATATCGTAATAGAGGCCGAATATTATTCATATCCTAGATACCAAATCTATTTTAAGTTGCAATCTCTGTCGGGGATATTTGATAAGCAGTCCTAGATATCATTTATCAAGAATTATAAGCAAGGATAATTTATGATATTGTCGTCCATGTATGCAGTTATATACTAGTAGAGAAGTTAAAATTTCTATAGGGCGAGTATTCGGTGTAACTATCCTTTCTTGGCGAGTATTATCTGCATCAAGTAAGTTGTATTATAATATTTCCCCATATTCGAGTTTCATACATGAAATCATATTTTGATGATAATCTCGCCGCCAGCTACCATAAGCAGTATGCGATAGTGTCTGTCTTGTTCTCAAGTGTTGTATAGGAATCAACTACTGCGCTGATAGCATAATATATTGAATCACGTTTGGTCATTCCTTATTCCAAATTGTACCAATTAGACTGAAATTTACATAAATTATGTATCCTACGTAGCGTTAGTAATTCATAGATAATACGAATCACATATCGACGCTTTAGTGATTGGCTCGAAATATATGGTAACCCGAACACTATACTAATTAAAAAGTAATACAAAGCTTCCAACCTATATCCAAGACATCCTTCTATTTCCGCTGGGTCCCGTAAATGTAGTTTACATCATTGACCGTTCGAATTTTGGGCAAATTTAGGCCAAAAAAGAAACCCAAACGGTTTATTGATCAAGATTTATGCTGTTGCGTTTATTCCTAGCCTCATAAAGTACCTGCTTAAATCTGCATCCGAATGAGGTTAGCTGCAGCTGAAGACCGTTAATAGCGAAATTATGCCGCTCCTACTGCAGCTATCTCGCTTTACGGGAAAAAAAAAATTCGGGGTGCAACGTCGGCTGAAGATTCTAAGTCTATTATTTCCAAATTAGGGTCTTGCGAGCCTAGCACCTATACATTTCTTAAACGCCTGATACGTTTGATCACGATTAAAGGAAGGAGAACAAAGATGCCATGCTGGTGGATTAATCTAGGCACCGGGCTGTGTTATCTAAATGTGGAGACAGCTGTATCCATCGTTCCTTCGGCTCAAACCGTCGTCTCACATCATCATCTTAAACATGTCAATAACATCCGAACGGCTAATTGAACTAAGTAAATTGGGGGCATTAGAAAACTTTGTCTGCCTATCACTTGCAATCTAACCAATAATGCACAATGGTCAGGCGTTTGAGCACGTTTAATTGTGAGCTCATACTGCGCGGTTAATTTTATCTGCAGATACGAATACTCAGCCATCATAGTGCTGTTCATTATCGTTACTATTTATCCGAGTGATATCATATTTACTCACGCCAGCCTCTCAAGAAACGCATTCATGCCCATTTAGATCCTTCAGTGACGAATCCATATGGCAGTCGAAGCATATGCCTAATCGAAATCGGCGTTATCAGTCACGCCGCGGCATGAAGTATATGCTGCTGTTCCTTGCCGTACCCTCAACTCCAGAATGCCACTCTACTTCTCCGTAATTCCACGAAGGATTCCCCGGCTGTGTCATAATTCCAGCATGCATGCAAGACGTGCGCTGACTTCGCATTATACGCGGAAGTCTCCCCTAGCGGCGGCTCGGCTCGCCTCGCCTGCCTGTCTCCCCACTTTTTGACCCTAGGGGACTAGAAAGGGAACAGAAACCCTCCTCGGTGTCAGTTCTCATTTGGCAAAGATTACTGCCTTATATGGACAGACCAGCATGCCACATGTCACACGCCGCCAACAAGATTAAGCGCCACAGATAAGGCAATGGCTAGCTCCATCCTCATTTTTATTTTAACAAATATTACATATACCTATTCTCTACCGATACCGTAAACCCGATCTGAATCACTATGTCTAGTTTACAGGACCCTTCTTAGGGTCGTATTGGAACTGTCAAACAGATAGCAACTAGCAGATCGACATTCCACAGGGAGTCCACTATTATTATGGACGGATCTCATGTGATCTGCAGCCTTCTTTTGGAAATTGATAGGGTAGTTGCAAAGATACCTAAGCTAGCTACTGCGTTAGATGCCATCTGAGATCTAACAGGGGGCTAATACTTGTCGCTGCCTACTGTAACTTGAAACCGTTCTCCAGGTTGAAGAGTTGGTATGTTGTACTTCCTCAAAATGTTGAACTGTGGGTTCTGACGAAAATCCCTCCACAATTCACTGCAATCGGTCAAGATATGGCCAAGGATAGCTATACTTAGCTATTAGATAGGGAAAGATCTACAGTCCTTTTTTTTTAGCGACCCATGGTAGTCACACTCGCCAAGTGTCTATCTAGTCTAGTACGCAATCCGTGACTTGGCAGCTGCTTTATAATCAGATGCCTGAAATTAAAGAGGAAGAGGTTATTTAGCATATTCGTCTAAAGAAATAAATAATGAATTATTGGATGACTTATTTAAATGTGGAAGTACGATCTAGGGGAGCAAAGGATTGGCAGGATTGCCAAACATTAGAGCTTTCAAGATCAGCCGAGTATCGATGCCGGTATAGATGAATAAGAAAATACTTTAAACGCTTATAAGATGCCGAATAGGTACTCTCTTCAAGTGTGTAAATCTCTATACTTGTACATCATAATAGTGCATATACCGAGTAAGTCACTGTACGTATAATGCCCTTCTAGATGCTTATGCTTCTTAGGGCACGTGTTTCTTATGCCATCCCTGCAGATCAGATTTAGGGAATAAACTTTCCGTGATCTATAACTGTTACACACCACACTATGCAAAGTGTGGGTGGCCACCCATGATTACTTATGCATCATCAGATCTGATTATGATATGATTATCTGAGAAAAATTGTGGGATGAGGCGATAGTGTTAAACTGCATATGTATACAGGTACATTGTAACTCGACCCTACAGTTAAGGATCAGTATTAGGCTAGCATTACAACAAGAAAAATCTTGCCTGTATTAGGTATATTAGATAGAATCAAAGATTTGTTGTACAATTCGCGGATTAATAGTGTGTTTGTTTCTTGCTAAATTACTAGCATTTTCTTATCTTTTGCTGTATTAGACCAAATCCAAATTGTCGCTGCCCTACCCTATACGACCACTGACATTATATATTATAATCTAGATAATCCTATATGCAGCTTTTTTCGCTTTCATAAGATTGAAACATAATAATAAGAAGATAGTCATGAGAATTATATAAAGGTAGAAGTCAAGGTTTTAATTTACCCGTGCATCTTTGGATATACCCGGTCTTAGAAAAAGATACACACTCCAAGTATATATGTTAATTTCATCATCTGAAAACTATCGAAGTCTTCGAAAAAGATATCGAGTGGATCATTCTGGATTTATCTTTATTATAATAATTATTATAGTGCATAAGAAGTACATGCGCATACACGTGCGCAGCATCTTGGTGTCTTACTTGGCAACAGCCAAGTCAATATCCAAGGCAAATGGCAATGCTGAAAGCCGATTTTGTGGGAACTTGGACTTAGCGCCAGTGTAGCCTTATAATTAGGTATAAGTCGCACACTTTGTGGAAACCAGGGTGGCCGAGTGGTCTAAGGCGATGGTTTTAAGTTATCTATTTCTTAAACACCATTATCGAGAGATGCCAGGGTTCGAACCCCTGTCCTGGTAGCACTTTTCTTTTTTTGTCCATGTCCAGAACAGCAGCACCGCATTAAGACGACGTTGCAATAAAGACTATGTACCGAATACTTTTTTTTTTCCTCATCTGGATTGACGTGCATATCGGGCGCCCTAGTGCTGCGCCGATGGTGCCCAAAATATTCTTGCAAATACCCGCAGTATCCCTCCCTTTTTTTTTTCCCTCCTTTTTTTTTTTTCACTCGCTGCGCATTGTTTCTGTCATTGCGCATCTCCCACTTACTTTACCACCATAACTTCGTTGCTCTACGTGCAATCCCCCCCCCCCCCCCCCCTTTTTTTTTTTTTTTTTTTTTTTTTTTCAAGATTTCCTTTTTCTATAAATATATTTTTCATTTATTTTGTTTTAAATATATTCTTTATACCCATTGTTTCCTCATTTCAGATATCCTTTTTTTTAGGAAATGCAAAAGATAAAAGAACAAAGAACAAACAAAGTCAGTCATCTGAATCCAACGAAGTAGTCAGCCTTGGCCGATAGTTGCCTATAGAATTGCCATCTCGAGATTAAATAATGCACAGCTCTACTGCATCACAAATTCATTCCAATGGGCTAATTAAGCAGTGGAAACCGAAATAGGATATTGTAAACATTGCTTATATTCGCAGACTTGATGTTATTTATCTTGTCGCAAATACCTCTACTTGTGCTGCTTTGCATATAAATATGTATTCAGTGACAACGAAAGACAGCATGCTTGGTTGACACCTTAAACCTTCTGTTACACATATACATATGCCTACATCGTATTTGCATAAAACGCCAAATAGCCCTCCATTCACTGCACAATCGAGAACTTTCACAGTATAACTGTGATGAACGACCGAGGATAGTCAGCACCACACAAAACATGCACATAAGTTCTGGTATCTAAACTCTCACACCCCCCTGACTCGTTAACCTTTCAGTCTGTTCGGAAGAGTTCAGTGAGATACCTATTTGAACAAATGCCGAGCCAGGTTGCCACAAAATGAACTGCCGGCATGAATCGAGAAGCATGCTATGAGGTCAAGATCATTAATCGATCTGGATGGCTAACCTAGTCTTGGTCACATCGAGATGGAGCTCTAGAAATAGAACAGCCTTTGTTATCATGCCTCGATGGCATGTTGCCCAGAAGAGGAGCTTGCCAGTTATGGGAGAGTCGCACTGACGTTTGCAAAGATAAAGCCGAACGCAGCTGTCAGGGAGTGGGAGCCGAATTCGGCTGGGGCGCCGATGACATCTAGAGTTGGTCATTGAGGTTAGCAAGATGTTTGTTTGTTTGTTTGTTTGTTTGTTTTATTATCAACGGCCACAAAGTAAGCTAGTTACATAAGTCCACATCTGAGCTTTCTGTCTTATCCACCTCCGCGTAGACTTGTTCCTTCGAGACCGGCCAAGCTAGACAGCAAGCTTATCAACCAATAGCCGGAGGTGTTGACCCCTGTTCGCTACGTTTCTCGTGACAAATGAAAGAATGTTGTATTTTCGCAAGCCGAGGCTTGCTTATTGGTTGTGTGTCTTGTGGGAAAAAGGTAAGCCAAAAGAAGTGCCCTGGCCGGATTTGAGCCGACTACCCTTTGCGATGAACGCGCATAAAGCCTGCCAGACGGTTAGCCACTGCGTCACAGGGGAAGCAAGATGTTTGTTAATGGGGATGTTGCCTTTGCATAATGTAGCATGTCACAAGAGCGCATATATGATGAAGAAATCGGAGTCTCCGGTCAGATATAGCGTTGTAATGCAGTAAACTATGCCACTTGCAAGATAGTTCATTGACCAGTCATATTTATAAGCTTATGTTACCTTAAACAAAAAGAGAAATATGGTGTTTTAAAGAACTGAAATAAATGCTAGATGCAATGATAGGACATAGGGTAGAATGATAGGTATCTGTAACTATTTATCCCTTAGAGGATTGCTGTTTCTCTCTGACCGCCATCGGAGAAACTCGAGCTATATTTCATTGATGTCTGATCTAAATTCTATTTCTCGACAAAAGTGAACATTTATGAAAGTAGTCCCGTTGCGAAAGGCTACCCATAGTATCATTCTAGTCGGTAATCAGGAATAATAGTTACTCCCTGGCCATCTGCCAAGGGCTCAATACTGAACTTAATTATGGGGTAGGTGATATTTCGCATCTATACCCTGGCCAGGGCCGGTAAGAGTAGTACTTCTCAATCCTTGGCAGTTTTAGATGCTTCCACCCCACGTACCTGAGCACCCTCGATCTTGACGTCGTACTCGGTAGCAGGGCAACTCTGCAGGGCTGCGGGAGGCATACCATGTCCCCTTGACCGTTTTGAATTGACGTCTCTTTCATGCTATTTCAATGCCGGCGTTCTGAATACACCGTGCCACTTCAAACACTCTAAATGAATAGTATCCGGGGTAGCATGCATACTGGTGGGATGCCCCCTTAGTCACATCTTTAGCTGTCGTCTCTCTTCTTTTCATAGAGTGAGTAAAGCATAAAAAGGTTCATAGCATATGATCTTTGCAAAGACATTTGCCTCCATAGCGACCTATTAGCTCAATTTCTGTCTAACTAGAGTTTGGAAGTATTGTCTAGAGATAAGCATTTAAGACCACCATAAAGGCGATAAGTATACCAAGACACGCATGAATGCGACAACTATGAATGCGAAATTTGCGGGCTAGAATTCACAGAGGCGTAAAGATTATACGGAGATGAGAATTCGCTCAGTAGGAGAGTTGTGCATGGTGATAAAATGAGTATTGAAGTTTGGTTTTTCTCCACCTTTTGAGAGGCTCTGCTATTTGAGAACATAATATTTATTTATTAATAGATTCCACTGCTAAAAATGTTGATGACGTTAGAGATAACCTGAGCAATAGTAACCTTCGCTTTCTAAGTGTTTTTGTGGCAAGGTTAGGAAGATTCATCGAGCTATAGGTGGGAGATTTCCTGGATACAATCCAGGATATAGTCGTATTGAGAGCAGGAAAAGATGTCATACCGTAATTATGGAAAATTTTATATTTAAATGGGCTTTTGCAATGCGTCACTATTTGGCTTTTGTGACGTCCTGACCTATACTATCGTACTTAGGTATAGGGTAGGTTCCCAATCTATAAACTCAACGTCGGGTTTATGTTGGCAGAGAGATGAGTTGGAGTCTTATGAGCGATGCAGTCACGTAGCTAACGAGGTTATGAATAACCAATCTGATTGTTATCTGAGAGTGCTATGTTAACGACTGACTATCTAAGTTCTATCTAATGAGCGTAATGAACGGTTCTTATATAGTAAGTCGTTCCACGAGGCTCACGATTTCAATCGTGATCCTTCTAGGGTGGCTCACTTTGGTGTTCGTGATCCATCAGGGATGGCTCACGCTTCTACGAGTGATCCCCTTCTGATTGGCCCATCGGTCCGTAGTTTATCCGTGGGTACGTATCTTATGGTTGTTGGGTCGTAACACGATGCCCCCTCTTCGTTGGTCTTGTCCTCAAGGCCAAGCGTGCATTAGTCCTTACGATCCATAAGTACGTCTGTTCTTCCCATTCCTGTTGTCCATAACTTGCTTCCTTAAATAATGGCGTGATGACTGATCGAGTATCCAAGTCAGTTCCTCGCAAAACCCGTGAGCGCAACCTTCTTGCGTCGTTTATTCTTTCTCACGGTTCTGATTCCGATATGCCATGTACTTATTGCTTTCGGAAGAAGATTCCCTGTCGAATGGTGGAGGATTCTTCTCGTTGTTATGAATGTGTTAAACGCGGTCGTTCTTGCGATGGAGTCCTGGTGGCTTCTTCTTGTGGGTGAGCTTTGTTCCCATGTTTGTTTGTATTGCTGACATTCTGGTTTTAGTAATGAGAGTGTTGGATCAGCAAAAGAAGCTGGAAGCGGAGGAAGAGGCTGCGGGCGAAGCCTTGGAGTCCCTTCAATCTCAGCTTTCCGAATTGCAAGTCAAGCTTTCTGAGGCGGTGAGCCGCCTGGCTCGNATTCGTCGTACGAAGAGTAAGATGAAGGAGCGGGGTAGTGAGTTGGTTCGTCGTGGAATGCAGGAGTTGGATGAAGAAGATGGTGTAGTGAATGATCTTCAGCATATGGGGGTTCCTAACGACGTCGATTGGTCCTCCCTTGGCGTTGGCCTGGAGTTCGCGGACCTTGGTCCGTTAATCTCACAGAACGGAGAAACCTCTGTATCGGCTCCTGAGAGTTGAAGTGTTCTTTTGGTTCCCATGAGTTCTCTAGTTCAGAGTATCCTTTCCATTTGACAAGGTACTCTATTTCGTTGGTCTCGGAGTTCTGGCGTATAGCGAGTACTTCTTCAACTTCATATTCTTCTTCTTCGTCTTCAACAATGATTTCGTCTAAAATAGGTCTTCCCGTGAGTTCGTCAACTTGTGCTTTTTCCAGTTGTGATATGTGAAACACTGGGCTTCGAAGCTTCATTGTGTCTGGCAACGCTAGCTTGTAATTGACTTCTCCAATTTGTTCGAGGATTTCATAAGGTCCTATTTTTCTGACGTCTAACTTGTCACTTGGCCTATTGGTCTTGATGTTCGGCAATTTGTGGCCTCGTGAGTGCCGTAACAGGTAAACCATGTCCCCCTTCTGGAGAATTGGTCCTGCAATTCTGTCCTGGTCTGCGTACTTTCTCATTCTGTCTCGGATAAATTCGAGTTGTGTGCGCATTTCTTCGTGCAAATCGATCATTAGTTCTGCTTGCAGTCTTGCTTTTTCGGAGTTGGGCCCTTCTCGTGGTGGTCTAAATGCTTCTGGTGTGAATCCATAGTTCGCGTAGAACGGTGTGATCCCTGTGGATTCTGAAGGTGTACTGTTGTAACAGTATTGTGCCACTGGTAATTTTTCTACCCAATCGTCTTGTGCGAAGTTGATGTAGCATCTTAAGTAGGCTTCAATGATCTGATTGATGCGTTCTGTTTGTCCGTCTGTTTGAGGGTGGTATGCAGTGCTCAGTTTGTGGTTTGTCCCTAATTTGGCCATGAGTTCTTGCCAAAATTTGGAAGCGAATGTTCGTCCTCTGTCCGATATTATTTCTTTCGGTAGTCCATGATTTGCGGCGATCATTCTCATGTAGGTGTAAGCGAGGTCTTCTGCCGTGTGCGATTTATTGTGCGGCAAGAAGTGTGCTTCTTTCGAAAAGCGGCAGACTACCACAAAGATGCTGTCGTATTTTACCTTTGTGAAGGGTTCAGTAGAGAGGGGTAGGTCGGTGATGTGGTCGAATGTCACTGATTCCCATGGTCGTTCTGCTACTGGCAGCGGTTGTAGTTTCCCATATAGTTTATGTCTTCCGTCTTTCGTCTGTTGGCATACGCTGCAGTGTGATACAACATGTTGAACGTGTGCTTTGAGTCCGATCACTTCGTAGTATGTGAGGACTTGATTGTATGTTTTCCGTATCCCTTTGTGTCCATGCAGCGGGTGCTCGTGAACGTATTTTACTACGTCCCGTCTTAACTCTTCGGGTACCCAAATCTTTCCTTCGCGTTCAGGGTATCCTTCTTCTGTAGTTACTCCTTCTGGGTATTCCTCATTCTCATGATTCTTCACATATTCTTTGATTTTGTCGAGCATTAGGTCTTCTTCAAGTACTTTGAACATTGCGTGAATGTGTACTTGCTCAATGTTTCCTTTGTCGTTATAGCGTAGTGCTTGTGCCGTGAATTCCGGTATGTCTTGTTCATGGTCACTTCTTCTGCTTAGTGCATCGGCTCTTCCATTTTCCGTGCCTTTGCAATGAATAAGTTCATAATCGAATTGTGACAGGAATTCGAAGTATCCGACTTGTCGGCTGGAGAGCTCTCTAGTGGTAGTGAAGTATGAAATATTCTTGTGATCAGTGTAGACAGTGATCTTGTGTTCACTTCCATGGCAATAATGTCTCCATTCTTTGAATGCTTGCAATATAGCGTACATTTCTTTGTCATAGGTGGGATATCGTAGCACTGGTCCATTGAGTTTGTGTGAAAAGAATGCAACAGGTCTGAGTTTGCCGTCGTCGCCTGGTTGACTTAGAACCCCTCCGATCGCGAAATTCGACGCGTCGGTCTCAATTGTGATAGGTTTCTTTGGGTCAAACATAGCGAGAATTGTCTTCGAAGTAATGGCCTTTTTGAGTTCTTCAAAGGCTTTTTGCTGTTCCTCCCCCCATTCAAAAGGTTTATCCTTTTTAGTCATATTGGTGAGCGGGATTGCTTTCAGCGAAAAGTCCTTGATGAATTTTCGGTAGTAATTTGCGAGTCCAAGGAACGCTTGTAATTCTTTGAGCGTGGTCGGTACTGGCCACTCATCGATTGCTTTGACTTTGTCAGGGTTCATGTGAATTTCTTCGGGTGTGATGACATATCCTAGAAAGTCAACTTTCTGAGAATGAAACACACATTTTTCGGGGTTAACAAGGAGTTTATTTTCTTCAAGCTTTTGCAGTATGAGATGGACGTGTTTCTCATGTTCTTCGAGGGTGTCCGAGAAGATCAGAATGTCGTCGATATATGCGATTGCGAAATTATCCAAGTATGGTCCGAGCACGTGGTTTATTCTTTTCTGAAAGGATGCGGGTGCATTTGTGAGTCCCTGTGGCATGACAACATATTCGTATAATCCATATCTTGTTGCGAATGCGGTCATCCATTCATGTCCTTCCTTCATTCTAGTGAGCTCGTAAGCTCCTGTGAGGTCGAGAGTTGTAAACCATTTTTTCCCATGCAGTCTGTTCTTGATTTGTGAGATCAAGGGTAGCGGGGTTTTGTCTTTGATGGTTATTTTGTTTAACTCCCTATAATCAATGACTAACCGTAGTTTGCCATTTTTCTTTGGTANGAAGATAATGGGGTATCCAACTGGGGATTTGGAGATTCGGATGTATCCCTTTTTGAGTTGTACTTCGATCCATTCTTTGAGGGTTTTAAGTTCCATTTCGCTGAGATTATAAATTTTGTGAAACTTTGGAGAGGCTCCATCTTTTAGGACTATCTCGTGGTCCCATTCTGAATGTGGTGGAAGTCCTTCTTCTAATCGTTCTTCAAAGAGTTTTCTGTACTTCCTATATTGTTTTGGAACTCGTGCTAGTGGATCGTCGGATTGTTCAATTTTCTTGAGTTCTTGGTCCAGTAGCATTAGTTCTCGGCGCAAAATAGCAACATGTTTTCGCGTTCTTTGTTCTGATGTCTTCCTTCTTTTCTCAACGTATTGAGGAGGTGTCGTGGTGGGCTTAAGGAAAATCTTAGGCTTCTGGCTACCTGATTTCCTTTCTTCTGGGATTTCGTTATTTCGCCAACGAATCTGGCCGGTTTCCCAGTCTATATCGGGATTATGTTTGCTTAACCAGGGTATCCCTAGAACAAGGTCGTATCGTGGGATATTGGCTATGTCGCATACAGTTCTAGTAATGCGATTTTCAATATTTATTGACAGGTGATCAGTCCGTCGTTTAATCCATCCGTCATCGTAAAGGAAGTGCGCTCCCTCTGCGTGTCGTAACTGATACTTTCTCTTTTTCTCATACGCTGGCAACTGCAGGCGTATTGCAGTTGTAGCAGACATATAGTTGCATTGCGACCCACTGTCTATTAGGACCGTGAGAGGCTCCCCGTCTAAAAACACATCGTACGACATTTTTTTGAATGTTCTTTTTTCTTCTTCCTCACTGTCGTATTCGTCGTCTGGTTCGAGAGACATAATGTGTTTTGAGTCTTCCTGTTGCCCTCTTACAGGAGACCGTCCACGTTTTTTGGATTATGCCAGTTTAAAATCTTAATTTCCGCGTGTCGTGCACATTTTGGATTTTTGCAGTCGAAAAAATCGGTTTCATTGCATTCTTCTCGGGCGTCTTCTCTTTCATGCCATGTGAAGAGTTTTCGAGCTTTATGATATTCGCAGAAGGCTTCTTCACAGACTCCTGTAAACTCATTCGGTTTTGCGCATTCTCCTTCTCCTAGGACGACTACCTTGAGAGATCTAAACCTCCACTTGACGTCCCAT